CTCTCTCTCTCTCTCTCTCTCTCTCTCTCTCTCTCTCTGTCTGTGCTACCACCTGCCCTTTCCCTCAGCCCTGGTTTTGCCTCCCCTGCTTCTAATTACCAGTGAGTGTTGAGTATAGCTTTGGCCTCAGGCCTACTCAACTCCTCAAACTGAGGGTGAAGTTGGGGCCTTGAGGAATAGGATTTATAGCTTCTTGCTTTCATCTCACCTTGTCCTACATCGAGGTACAAATAGGAGGAAGCTTTGATGAAGGAAAACCCCACCCAAGGAAGACTAGTTTTCAGGTGCCATGAAAGCAAAGTAAGAGACAACAATGAATGTACTGTAAATGGAATTACTTTATGACCAACTGGGATGGATTAAATAGGATAGGTTTGGGGTTCTGGAATAGTCCAGGGGAGGGGACGTTAAGGAACTAAGTGCTTGAGGGCCAAAGGTTGTGACTGTGTAATTATCACTCACTGCTATCTCAAGACTCTGTACTTCACACTCACTCACTGTACTCAGCTAGACTGCTCAGCTCTCAACCTGTTCTCTCTCTACTGCCATCACTGTCCTGTCCCTACTCAGCAGTCACCACCCCTGACAACCCCAAAGTCCTATGGAATCCCTTATTTTCCACCCCTACCCCTCAGTCTGAGTCAGACATCTCTCTCTGGGAAAAAGTTCCTGCCTCTGACTTACTAGAACCAATTAGTACAGTCAGTTCCAGGCCATCATGACATCTTGAGCCCAGAGTTGATCGCTATTAGATGTCTTATCTCCTAATGCAAATGGCTGGCTGCCAGTAGGCAGGTTGTGGTTTTCCTCCAGCAACCAGCTAGCCCAAATTGATGACATAAGGCTGGAGGTAACTTTGGGGCTAGAGACACCTCTGAAGAGGTTTCACCCTTTCTGTCTTTCTTGTCCTGATCAAGCCTAGAAACAGGGAAGGAACCATGAAAGAACAAATGGTTTGGGCTCAGGTTGGTCCCAGCCAGTGACACTTCAGCCTTCCTGCCTGTATCTCTGCTAATCTCTGCCTTGCCTCATGCCACTGTGAATTGACCAAAGGGATTATAATTAGAGGGTTCACCTGGGGACATTCTGCCTATTGTGCTATTAAAACCATAAGTTAAAATAGAAGAATCCCTAAAAGATAACTTGAGGTGTGCGGGCTGACGATCCATGACAGCCTGACCCACTGATCAGAGATGGGGAGGTGCACGTGATTCCCGGAGGAGACATTTGCACTTTGCAGACCCTGAGCCTTGCCCCAAGTTCACTCTCCACTTGGCTGATTTCAAACAAACAAAACCTTTCTATCTAAATAATAAAGTTGCCTGCATTTGCATATTACTTTATATTTTTCAGGTTACTTTTGTAGATCTTATCCCCTCAACCTCACAATAATCCTATGAGATAAATGGTATCCCCAGTTTATAGATGAGGAAACTGAAACAGAAAAATTGAGAGATTCTTCTAGGGCACAGAACCCTTAAATAGCAGAACCAAGTCTAGGGAGAACTGAGGTCTCCTGAGTCAGTTCAGTCCTAGTTTGATTCTTGATCTTCTATTTCCTCCAGTCATTCATTCAACAAATATTTAATGAGTGCCTTTTATACCCTAGGCACTGAGGACACAATGAAGAGAAAAACAGACCAGGTATCTGCCCTCGGGTAGTGTAGTGGGAAGACAGTAAACCATAAAAATCCACATCTTCGGTGTTTAATCACAGACAGTTAAAATCATACAGACTTCCCCTTGGTATTCACATGCACCTAAAAACTTAGATTAAGAAAACATACCCCCATGATTCCAGACACTCCAACACACATAGTCATTGTCCCCTGTCCTTAGCCTACTAGAACTACAACAGCCCAATTCCTTGGGTACAATACAAGGGACCTCTCACCTGATGTCCAAATTGGTTGCAAGGGAAGCCAAGAACCACCAGGCGCCTAGGAAAGCGGCATTGCAGCTCATTGAGCTGGGTGTAGTCCCGGGTGGTTGTGCCTCAGAGTGAGGCCACATTCTCGATGAGCACTGCCCTGCCTCGGAATGTGTTGAAATCTACCTTCTCCCCATCCAGGCTGATCGCACTGAGGTCGTAGAAAGACTTGGCAATGTAAGCCATGCTGAAAGTGCAGAGTGAGAGGCAGAGTGGCGTGAGCCCACTTAAGGGTCTATTAAAGGGGTGGGGAGGAAGGAGGAGCCAGGAAGGCTCTCACAATGGGGCTTTGAGCATCTCCAGGATGACTTAGCAGAAACAGTCGCCCACCTGTAAGTGCTGTTTGAACAAGAAAGTAGCTCCTCCTACTTACAGACTCTGAACAAAGCCACCTCCCTGCCCAACCCTGCTGGCAACCTAGGAAGGGCCAATGTGATATCTATGAACAGACGTGAATAATTCACTGCTTGCAGGAAACCAGAGCCCCAAAGTTCGAACCGGGAGGAAAAAAGGGAGGGAGGGATGCAGGATTGACTCCTATTTGTCCCAGCAAGTTGTTCTCACTTGGCACAGACATTTAGTGAGTGCCGAGCTCTGAATTGTGCAATTGAGAGGTTAGGGTCTACTGAGAGCTGAAAGATGAGGAAGAGAATTGGGCGCATGTCCCTTTGATTCAGACTACAGCTAAAATACACACATTGCTGTTCACATTTTTCTCTTTGGCTATTTCAGAGGGCCCCTTAGGAGAATGGTGTGTGATTTTCAAAAATAATGGCTTTCAGTGCCTCAGCTTGCACCAGGCTGAAGAGCTGAAATTGTGCTTGTCTTGGGAATCTTCCAGCGAGTGATGGTACTTGTCCTGGAGAGCACAGCTGCCCTTGCCCCTGTGCTGTCCCATCTCCTCTTCTCTACCTCCAACCCTGTCCCCACAGGTCATGAGTTGGTTGGGGCCAGGACAATGGTGAGGAGTCACAGAGCAGGTGGGTAAACTCAGGGGATGGGCTACCCCTACCTCTTCTCAGACAAAGGTTCAGACTCCAAGACTTTCCAGAGGGGCTTGTGCCGGTCATTCCCCACAGGAGAGTGCAGGGAGTTGAAGCTGCTGTGGTTCTAGACCCAGCTAGGCCACCTGGGATGTTTTCAACACCAGCCATGCAGTGTACTGCAGGACACATGGGGACCTGCTCAGGGCTTTCATGGGAGCACAGCACTGGAAGCCCACAGAAACGAAAAATCCTAATGCTTCACTTCATTCTTCCAAGTACCACCAACACAACAAATGAGTTGTTGTTGTTGTTGTTGTTGTTTTTCTTTTTTAATGCCTGGATTTCTCCATCAGTAAAACTGGCAGTTAGACTTTACCTGGCTTTGGGATTCTAGAGTGAAATTTCAGTAACAGTGCAAATGTTTACTAGAGAGTTTTTCACAGATACGTGTCCATTGGGAACTGTCTCCTAGAACAGAGAATAAGCCAGGCTGGGGAGCAGCTGGTCTTGAGAATCTGATTTGTTGAGAAGATGGAGGAAGTACTCGCCAGAGAATGCTCAGCTTTTCTGTCTTTTATAGGCTGTTCATGGCTGTTTATAGCGCAAGGGAACCCATAGGTCTCAACTGACTACTCCCTGAAAACAAGCCTCCATTACCTAAGTGGGAAATCTTTTGCCACTAGAAGAGGTGGCAGGAAATGCAGAGAGAAATGTGTCCCCTGCTGAGATTGGGTGGAGTTACTAGAAAAAGCAAATAAATGTTCCTCCCAAGCCACTGAGTCAGAATGTGGCCTTGACAGTGGGCTAAACTTTAACATAAACTTGCTGGAATGGCCTGCATGCCTAGTGCTTCCGAGTACTCTGGTTCGCGGTGCAAGAGGAAGTGCCCAACAACAAAGAGGCCGCAGGCAGGGAAAAGGGGTCGAGGCCGGTCCTGACCTGTTACAATGAAGACTGGCTTGCTATGTGGGATTACACCAGAAGCTTGCAGTGGAGTAATGGTAAGGAAATCAAGCGACCTTAAATATCTCGGCTGTGTAGGAGCATATTCTACTGCAGAAGACCTTCCTGTGAAGATCATGGAATCAAATACAGGACATTGAACTCCCAGGAGCCTTACTGGCTTCCTGAGACTCTTCTCCAGGAAGACCTGAGTTGAGAAGGGGGTGCCCTCTTCCTTGGGTCCATGCTGTCCCTTTTCTCCAGGGACAGCCTAGGACACTGTGGGTCACCCAGGTTCTCACCTTTCATGATTGAATAAAATTGATGAAGCGCTCCTAAAAGACATCTTTGTCTCCAACTTGACCCCAAACGGGTCCACTTCCCAGGAGCTTCTAACTTTGGATGTGCACGAACACAGCTTTCCACAGGGACAGTAGTTGTTCTGGGAACTATACTGGCTTAGTCTAGACAGAGAGCCTAAGTCAGTGGTTCTCAACGCTGGCTGTGAGTGAAACTTACACGTAAGAGATTTTCCTAAATAGAGATGCCAAGCTTCCCCCTCCAGAGATTTCAATTCCGTTTGGTCCTTTCCAGCCACAACTCTGCCACTGTTCTTCGGGGCCCCAGGCCCGTTTCCTCATCTGTGGAACTTGGAAAGACACACAGACGTGACTGTTTGATTATTCCGATGGAGGAGTGTTATTTACAAGTGCTCTGTAAGTTGGAAAGTGCAGGCTAAGATCATAAGCTACCATTGCCCCACCTTGTTTTATCCTTCCTCCATTTTATCCCTACCTCCAAACATTCTCTGCCTCTTCTGTCAGCTCCGGACCCGAGTATAGTATTCAACAGCCCCTCTGGACCCTGGGATTCCAGTCTGTCTTGTTGCCCTGGGGGTATCCAAGCTATACTAGCCTATCCAGGGCTAGGATGAACTTCTGAAAGGTGGCTTAATCCCTCCTCATGCCTTCAAGAACTGTTCCTGTTCCATTCTAGGCAGATGAGAACCTTCTTGGCTTTAAAGACACCCTCAGACATAGATATTCAGCATCCGCATAATGACTGTCCTTGATCTTCTTCAACATGACCCCACCTTGGAGCAATGGGGCTTTGCTTGGGGCTCCCCTGCAGGTGGCATTAGGAAAGGTACAAAAGGGAGGACAACGCCTGCTGCTTCCCATTGTCTTTCTACTGCTCCTGCTTTAGGGTTTCAGAGCCTCCTCCACCAGCACTGCCTCTCCCCGCCCCCTGAACTGCTGGTGTCGAGTGAGACCTACTCCCAGGGACTAATACAGGCAAGCACACCTGTGGTTTGAAATATTCTTTATTTTGTAAACATCTGTGTTTAAAATAGATGAACCCTGCTTACAATTCGTATACTGGACCCGAGACACAGTACACAAAGTTCACCCGTCACAGGGAGATGGTGGGGCTCAGGAGCAGGTGCAGTGCCCGGGGCTGCGCTGAGTCTCAAGACAGCAGGTGCGGAGGTGGTGAGGAGTCAACAGGCAAGAGCGCCTGCTCAACAGTCCGGGCCTAAGGCCAGGTCCCAGGCCACCTCCTGGACTGGATGAGTTTAGGGGTGAGAGGCCAACTCTGGCACCTGGTGAGCGGAGCTGCACCCTCAAATCCCAACCCTCCTCCTGCCCTCATGTGTCCCCAGCTGTGGCCCTTGTGGATGGGGCATATCAGGCCATAAAACCCCAATCCCAGTTTTCCCTTCCAGAACCCCAAGGGTACAGTAAAAACATAGTCCCTCTTTCCTGAGGGGGCTAGGAGAGAAATGGTGCTCTGCCTGATCTTCAGGGAAAATGGCAATATTGATCCACAGGTTGGAGCCAATGCCCAGTATAACTTCCCCTTCCTCAGGTCCCTGGCTGAGGGCACACTCAGTGTGGGGACACTGAGTGTTGGCACTGCCAATCTCCCCACCCCAGTGTGATGCTGCATATGTCTTGATACGCGAGGAGTCAGTCCTCAAGCATCCTCAGCCCGGTTGTGACTTCATTCTAAAGAGTCAGTTTTCTAAATTTCTCATTAGCTGACTATTTATAAACTATTCCTGCCTTCCTTTTCCTTCCACTATGCTAACCTATCCCCTGTTTCTACGTCCTGAGTTACCCTCTCCTGCTCTCTCCTGATTAGGTAAGAGTCAGGAGGAAAGGTTTGGTGATTTCAACCCCCACCCTTTATTTGGAGGAGTAAAGAAGTGGGGCTCTTAATCCTTCAAATGTGTGTGTCCTGGAGTTTGGTCCTCAGCTGGTGAATGTTCGATGCCCAATTCTTTGCTTTGCTCTAGTGCCAGCCACGCAATGCAGCTGAAGGCTGATCCTGCTCCCTAGGCTTCTCCCGTCTTGGGAAGGTGGGGAGGAGCCCTACTAGGTTCCTTCCTTCAAGCTACTCTTGGACCATCTAGGGTTAAAGAAACTTCTTCCTGAACAAAAGCCCTGGAGGAGGGAGTCTGCTTCCCTTTGTAGCCACCTGTAGCCACAGTACAGCTGGCAAGCCCTCAAACCTCTGACTCAGAAGCTAAAGGGGCAAGATGAGCACTTGGCCCTGAAGGCTGAAGGGAACAGCACCAAGCATGCTTCTCCAGGGCTTGCTTGCTTGCTTTCTGCCCATGAGCTCCCTGTCCTTCTTCCGAGAACTCTGAGTCTTGGGAAAACCTCGAGAGTTGAAGGCTAGGCTTAGTGAAAGACCACCAGCCTGGCTCTGTCGCCTCACTGGCCAGGGTGGTGGGGAACACCCTTCTTACACAAGAAGTGGAAGATGGGGCCAGGAAGCCCCGCTGCCGCTGAGTTCTCCTCTCGTTTGCAAACTGCTATCCCAGCCTACTGTCCCTGGCTCTTAACCTGATATACAGGAGCCGGTCCTTCACTTCCAAACATTCTCCTTTCTGGAGTATGTGGTCAGCCTCGGGGGTCTCCTCACCCCTGCAGTGCCCTGGAGCCTTGGTCCACATCTTTAAATTCGGGAGCCCGGGCCGGGGGGTAGTGGGGTGTGAGAAATTGTGTACATGCTGCACGGGAGGTAGAGAATGAAGGTGACTTTTTATCCCTGCCACCCTGCATCATTTTTTTTTCTCTGAAGCACCTGCCTTGGAGCTCAGTTCCCCCAGGAGGCAGGTGGGCAGCAGCCAAGCAAGGCTGATGCTGGGGCAGGGAGGTAGGACAGCCCCAGGGGTGGGGACCACCAGTTGGGGGTTTACTTCCTCCCTTGACATTCCTCCTTCCTGGGTCATGGGAAGGCAGACCCATGGCACAAGACAGGGCAGTGGGGAGGGAGGACAGGAAGAAGCTCCCACAAAGCAGGGCAGGGTTCTCCCGGGAGCAGAGCATGGAACATCCCCCTGAGCCTGAGTCCGCTCCCTTGCGCAGGCGCTGCACTGGCGGCCATATGAGACACGTGGGGAGAGTGGATGTGGGGCTCTGGTACAAACACACCACACACTGGAGGGGAAGGGTCAGAGAATGGGAAGTGGGAAGAAGTGAGAAAAAGCAGACAGGAGACAAGATGCACTGAGAGAGAAGGAGCCTGATACTGGCCTTGATGCCAGACTCGGCCATTGTCTGGGGAGCTCGGGGCAGTGAGCCCATGCTCAGAGCCCATCAGGGGCTCACAGCTGGCCCATGGCTGGGGAACCAGGCTGCAGGATCCTCCCCAGGGTTGGGGGGCTGGGGGCAAGGCTGCTCGGACAGGACAGCGGAGCTGCTCTCGGGGCCAGGCAGGGGGAGGAGCAGCGACGGATATTCCACAGGGTCACCCGGAGGAGGGGAGAGGGATCAAAGCCCAGACGCCCTGGGTGCCCGCGGCCTCCAGAGGGGAGAAGGGATTGTGCGGGTGCTCTACATGGGACCCTCAGCACCAGCAGGTTTTTGAAGAGTTCCCTGGGCCCTCTGGTTTGCCCTCATCCTCCTCCAGCTCTGCCAGGGCCAGCTCATTGCTGGCATGTGTCCGCAGACCTTCCAGCTCCTTCCTGTGGGCCTGCAGCACCAGCTCCGTCAGACGTGTGAAGGACTGGGAAACCAAGGAGCATAGTTACTCTGGTGCCTCCTCTTCTTCCCCCGGCATCCCCGTGACTGCCCGAGGGGCGGCTCTCATCTGACCTGGGCTCCTGTCTGCCGCCTTCTCCACTCGCCTCCCCCCTCTGCTGGACTCGGCCCAAGAGAAAGGGCAGTGGGGCTGCCAAGCACTCACCTCTTTAATGTTGAGGTTGGTGCAGGCACTTGTTTCGTAGAAGTCCATGCCATACTCTTTAGCCAGCTGCAAGAGAAGAACATTCCTGAAAGGGAGTCAGTAGGGGAAGGGAGGTGCCCACAGCACCTGGCGCATCCTCCTGCCACTGTGTTCATGGTCTGCGCTGTGTCATGACAATTTCTCAGAGTGGATAACTTCTCAGTTTAAGACTGGGAGCTCCTTCTAAGCCACAGGCTAGCAGACAATGGAGAAGATGCTCCACAAATACACCCCCCACCTCCACCCACCTACACACAGGCACACACACATACACATCCAACACACACACACATCAGGTGACAACGACACCAAAATGTTGTGGCACCTTAATGAAAAACAGACTTTGAGGCCAAAAAGACCCAGACTGGAATACCAGTGCTGCCACCTAAGAGCTGTATGATCTTGGACAAGTTCTTTATTCTCCCTACGCCCCAGTTTCATCATCTGCTAAAGGGGGATGACGGTGCCTATTGACCAGGCTGTGGAAGGACCGAACGGGGTCATGCATCTCAGAGCACTGGCTTAGCAAAGGGCCACAGTACGATGCTGTATGTACTCAATAAAAAGAGTAATACTCCAGTAGGGATTGGCTTCTATTTTCAGTTTTTTCAATGACCATGTATTATTCTTTTATACTAAAAAACAAATGTATTTTAAGTGCTCGTGGGATGTCATGGACTGAAGAGGGAGAGAAGAGCTCTTTGGTCCCTCGGAGTAAGTGGATGACTCTGGCCTCTTTCGGTTCTCTGGGAGGATGGTCTCCCTGTATGATTGGACATTACCTCAGCACCATCCCCCTACCCTCCCTGCCCCATGGCTTCTCTGACCGTGGGCCCCTCATTTCCTCATTTCCCTTTGTACCTTTCCAGGTGTAAGGAGGACAAGGAGTGGGTGTGGAGGGGGTGGGATGACTGTAAGATGGAAGCTATGCTCGGATGCTGCCAGAGAAGATGTCAGCAACTTGAAGTCCTTCCTCCTCACTAACCAGGATGGGCTTTTAAGCAGAGGTAATCCTGCTTTGGAGGACTTAGAGCTGGGAGAGGTCTCTGTTTCTGGATGGACCCCAGTTCACTGTACTGAAGGACAAACTTTCAAGGACGGCAAACCATCCAGTGCCTCAGGCTCCAGTGGGAGGGGTGGGGGTTCCTGATGACAGTGACAGAATCCTGGGTCCCAGCTCTCAGGACTGGCCCTGAAAGACAGTGGACAACCTGAGGGATGGATCTGGCCAGCTCACTCCCACTTACCTGCTGCCCTTGCTCTCTTCCCACCTGCCGTTTCTGCTCTTCATCGGCCTTATTCCCTATAAGGATCTTCTGGACACCTTCTGGTGCGTACTAGGGACAAAGGACAGTGCCCGTGAGTGCTGCCTTTCTCTCCCATCTCCCCACCATACAGTCTACACTGGCCTCCACACCAGCACCAAAGTTAAGAGCCCAAGGGATGGAGCTGGCTGACTGCATGCAGGTGCCAAGCTCCCCAAGTACCATGGCTGACCCTAGGGGTCCCAGAGGGGTGTCAAGGGGACTGTTTAGGGTACAGGACACTAGTGCTTCCTTGGGTTGGACAACTGGTACCTGAGCTGCAAAAGACACTGGACTTAAGTCCAAGCCCTCATTCTCCAGAGGAGGAAGTAGGGACTTAGTTCAAACGGCTTGCCTGAGGCTCCGCAGCTATTGTGGCAGAGCCAGGACTGGAAGTCCAGTGTCACAGTTCCTCCTGGTCCTGAGATTCCAGGAAAGAAGCTGTTCATGGGGTTGGCTTTGTCCCAACTTGTTTCTGGGGAAGACACAGCCATGGCGGCCTGGCAGGGGACAGAGCACAGAGGGCATGGCAGCCTGGGCTCCCTCCCCACCTCTTACCCATAGGTCTTCATCCGGGGCTGAAGAAGGCAAAGCTCACCAACCCTGAGAGCTTCAGCGCTTCCCATCTGGCCCTCGCTTTGCTCTCCCCTCTGAGGTGCCCTTCCCCCACCCCCACCGTGAGGCAGCATCTCCTACCTCATCCACATCACTGACCCACTTCATGATGTGCTGGTAGGAGCGCTCGCTGCTAATGTCATAGACTAAAAATATTCCCTGAGAGAGAGAAAGAGAGAGAGAGATGGAGGAGGTAGTACACACAGAGATAGCACACAGTCATTGGGCCAGAAGCGGGGGTGGTACCTTAAATGCTGGGTCCCAATCTCCCTTCTCCCTGCTTAGCATAACGAAGATCCCTCAGCTCCCAGAAAAGTCTCCTTCTCTCTCAGACCCTCAAAGCCACTGCTTCCTAGGCTCATCGGAGAACTCTCTTAGGCAGGAGGGCACCCCACTTTGACTTGGGCCTTTGGTCTGGGGTGTGTTGGGTGGAAGTTGAAGTACTCAGACAGCGACTGATGAATGATCAATGAAAGACTGCCCTGAGGCCCCCCTTCCTCAGCAGGCCAATCTGAGGGCCCTATATGGGGAGCAGTGGCACAAATATCTCAAACACCCAGAGCCAGGAGTGTGGGTGGCAGCATCCCCCCTCTAAACCCTGAAAATGGTGGCTCACCTGGGCCCGTCGATAGTACTGCTTTGTGATGGTCTGATATCTCTCCTGCCCCGCCGTGTCCCTGCAACAGAAAGCCAGTCCTTCAGAAGAGCGGGGGAGGAGGGGAGGAGTATGAGCTGGGAGACCCTGTGCCTTTGCAGGAAAATCTAGAGAGCTGCAGGGTGAAAAATCAGTGGAGCTTTGGTCCCTAAAGGAATCCAAACATATCTGACTCTGACGGAGTCATTGGTGCTGACAGGGCTGGTGGGGCCTTGTCAACCGTATCTGTACCAGGAGCCACAACCATTAACTGGGCTTGGGTAACTGTCTCTAGGATTTGGTCACTGTGTCCAGACTGGTTGGACTGCTCTGCCTCCAGTCCTTCTGGGACCTCTGAAGGCAGCACCTAATACCCCTGAAAATGGGAGGCTGCTTCAAAGTCTGGAAAGATAGTGCTTCAAAGAGCGCCAGGCCAGAGGGCCACAGCGGCCCCCTGTGGCTATTTGTGGGAACTGCACTGTGCTGTGGTAAGGCACTCTGGCCAGGAACTCTCCCCCTAAGGGTGGGGTGTAGCCCTCCCTCCTTCTCATCCTACCGCAGTGCAGTGCAGCACAGCCGGAGAGAAGAGCCTTATTCTAAGACAAACCCACAGTGCTTAGTTTGCCAATTCCTTCTAATTCCTGCTTTTTGGTGTCTTGTGGTCACTCCCGTAAAGTTTGCTAAGAAAGAGATGAGAGATTAAGGCTTATGGGAGCAGAGGATAAGGGTTTAAGACTTCAGCTTCTCTCCATCGAAGAAGTGGCCAGCTACTCTAGATGAAGCCTTTGGGTTCTGCACATGGCAATGGCAGCTAGGGAGCAGCCCAGGGTCCTCCCCCTCCTCCCAAACTCACCAAATCTGTATCCGCACTTTGATGCCGTCTACCTCTATGGTCTTCATCTTAAAGTCAACACCTGGGGAAAGGCAGAGAGCAAGAAAGTTAGGAAGGTTACCTGCTGAGAAGTGAAGTATGGTCCAGGGCATGCACACTTGAAGGGTCTCCTTTTGGTTTAATTTGGCAGAAAGCTGGCACAAGGTAAGGGCCTTCTTGAACCAAACACTGACCCACAGGAGTGTCCAGGACTTTGAATGGGACATCCCCTCCTCCTTGAGCTGCAAGCTGCCATGAGTTGAAGAGCCTGGGGCCCAGAGGAAGTGAATATGGGGGAATCTCCTCCATCACTACCTCGCTCAGCCCCAAAATGTGTCTCACTCTACTCACGTGTGACGCCTTACTGTTTATACTGCTACAGAGAACAGCCTGTATTTATCCCTCCTGGAACTCTAATCCCTAGGAGCAGCACTCCCCTTCATTCGCCTGGGTTTTTTCTCTCAGCCTGATTAGCAACCAGGAGGGGTTATGGCACCATCGTGAATGTGGGGAAGGCACACAAACCCTGGTGAGAGAGGAGGACTGTTTCAGCCCCTCATGTGTATGAAGTCCTCAGCATCGAGCAGAGGCCCACCAAGGAGACAGCCTAGTGGGTCTGTTGTTGACCAGGCCCCGTTTACCATCGGAAGCATTGTTACTAGGAACATGGGCTTTGAAGCCAGGCCTGAGCTTGAATCCTCACTCTGGCCACCTTAACTCATAGCTAAAACCTTGGGCACCTTGCTTCTCTGAGCCTCCATTTCCTCATCAGTAAAATGGGGACATTACCAGTCATTTCAGAGGGTTACTGAGAAAACCAAATAAGATACAGTGCCTGGTACCTAGGGGACATTCAGTCGATCCCAGCTATCACTATACCGAGTACAGCCCTGGTCCACAGTGGGTGCTTGTAGGCGACTGCCAGTGACCACAGGCAGAGGCAGTGGCACAGCGTGTCACTGGGAGAGGGAGAGTGGACACAGGGTTCTCAGGCTCACGTGCCCAGGGGCTGGAGGAGCTAAGCTGCCTTAAGACAGAGGAAACGTAAGGGATCTGGTGAGCCAGCCCAGGGCAGAAACATATCTGGGGAATTTTGCAGCAAAAGAAGTCGGCACCAGCAGCAGCACACAGGCTTGAATCCAAGTGGTGACAGAGAGACGAGGTGCCTCTCCCCAGCCCCAACTGTGCCTAGGCGCTGTGCCCAGTGATTCAAGAGCTGTGTCTAGTAAGTTAATTAAGCTTCTGTGCTCGTGCACTCCCTGGAGACAAGTCAGGGATGGGCATCATTAACTAGTGCTCGAAAAGGAACATGTGAAGGCTGAGTTCTGGACCAAAATCCCCAGGCTGCACAGCACAGCACCCCCGTCCCCTCAAAGATGCAGAATCCCCGGCTCCGCTGCCATCCCACCTCGGCATTAGTTCTTTGCAGACAGGAATACTGTCCCTCTTATTCATCCTGTCCCCATCTTTCTACGAATACAGATTAAATTCAGACTCTTCCCTCTTGCCATCAAGACCAGTCATCATTTAATTAGAAAGAAGAAAGAGATTCAGACCGGACAACCTGAACTAAATCAAGCTGGTCAGACGTGAATCATTTTTCACCTGCCCCAGATGATTCATATCTAGTGAGCTGTACTTTTCCAAATGGGCAACGTCTGGCAGCCGTTTTTCCGAGGGTGCCGAGAAAGTGACAAAGCGGAGGGTGAAGGAAGGAGGGTGCACCTGGCCTTGTGGGGACAGTGGCGTGCCCAAGCCCTACTAGGCAAACAGTTGTCAAGAATTTGCTTCTCCCCAATACCTGACATAGAAGGGAATGAAGAAAGCTTTGTTCTTTCCTGGCACAGTACCTTCTTCCCAGGAGAACCAGCAATTCTGTTCATTTTATAATAAACTCAGCTTATCCTCATACCAGCCCAGCAAGCCCAGTCAAGGACAGTGCCATGTACAAAGTGGTCACAAGGAGTGGGGGGTAGGATGAGAGAAAGGGATCTATTTCCTTTATCCCACAAACTTCTATGGAAACTTACTTTGTGCCCTGCTCAGTGCTAGGTGCAGAGGGAGTGGCCAAAAAGACAGATGGTCCCTGCCCTTACAGGCTTATTGGAAAGAGAACAAAGGCCTAGGGAGGTAAGATAATTAGCTGAAGGCCAGCACAGCAGGTAGCAGGGACCTGTTTGATGGCAGAGCACTCGCTGTGTGCCTGGGGGAATGCGCGGAGGGCTGTGTGTTAACTAGGCACAGACGCCTAACTGCGCTTGGCTTCCTGTTTCTGTGTGGAGAAGGGCTCAGCAGGGAAGGAGCCCCCAACATCAGGGGAACTCTCCTTGAGAATGAAGGCGCGTCTTAGGAGAGGCAGGGCTCACAAGAAGACAGGGAGCCGCCCTGGGAGTGAGCGCTGGGCTTGGATTCCTTCCCTCTTCCCTCACTTCTTAGCTGTGTGGCCAGGGACCACGCTGGGGAATTCTGGGGGCTCACAGCACCCCTCGAACCCTGTCATCTTGGAACCTAGGCCCTTCTGACCACCGATAAAATTTGTTGTCACATCGCTGAGAAGTAAAGTACTTCAGTGCTGGCTCTTTACCGGCACTAAGGAAGAAACAGAGAGTCTATGCCTTCTGAGGGACTTTCCTCTCCCACACACTCCTCTCCTTTTTAAATTGAAAGAGTAACAGCCCAAGGGTCTTCTCTAGTGGGATCTGTTCCTCTACTCTGCTCCCACACACCCTGCACCTTCTACCGTGTCCACCTCCATCGGCCCCTGTGCCCACCCGTGGCCTCTTCCCCCTCCCTGAGTGGCTCTTGGTTTTTCCCGCTGCCAAGCACTGCAGGGCAGAGGCAAACACTGGCCTGCTCTAGTCACCTGGAGACTCAGGCTTTCTCCCCTCAGCTGGGCCTCACAGCTGCTCAGAAGCCATTTACTTGAGGTGTGTTCACCCACCACACACCTCACGCCCTGCCCTCCCCGCTGCAGGGCTCAGTCCCAGTGCAGCGCCCCCCCCCCAATGAAAGCATTCAAGAGAATACCTCTTCACTGTCTCACGGGCAAGGTGACAGCTGCCTGATGAAGCCTTTCCTCTGAGGCCCACCTCATGTCCTCAGAATTGTCCCATCGTCTCTACCATCCCTGCGGAAGAGTCCTCTCTCCAAGTCTCACTCTCAACTGTCAGCCCCCCTGGGTGCACATCCTAATGGTTTCGCTCCCTCTCTGTTGCATCTTCAGACTCTCCAGAAAAAGAGAAATTGTTCATTTACCTCCACCCCCAGTGTGTTCTCACTCTAGCTTCCCTAAGGCAGCACTTCGCAAACTTTAAGGTGCAGGCAAATCATGTGAGGACTGTGTTAAAATGCAGATTCTGACTCAGCATGAGATGAGGCCTGAGATGCTGCACCAGCCTCTGGCTGAGGCTGGTATTACTGGTCCACGGATCACACTTTTGACAGCAGGCGTCTCGGGACAGTGGGTCTCAATGTGTGATCCCCAGACCTGCAGCATCTTCACCAGCCACAGCTTGTTGGAAATGCAAAGTCTTGGGCCCACCTAGATCTACAGAATCCAAAACTCTGGGCGGGTGTGGGGTGGCCAGGAATCTGTTTTAACAAGCTCTCCACGTGACTCTAATACATGCTGAGGTTGGAGAATTACATCTGGACTAAGGTTTTGCACGTGAAGCGTCAAGTGAGGCATCATGGGAGTGCTCCGATTCTCCAGGGGCGCTCTCTCTGCAGATGCTCAGCTTTAGAATCACCTGGGGTGTCTTTTTTTTTTTTAATGGTACTACTTTGACTTTCCTAGACCTAATGAACCAGAATTTGAGAGTGAGGCCCTGAAACCTGTATTGTTAACAGGACCATAAGTTAGTTTCAGATAAAGGAAAGTCTGAAGGTTCTAATTTAGTGGAAAAGCCATCCATTGGCACTGGAGTCAGAAAGACCTGGGTCCGAATCCTGATTCTGGCATTTGCTGTGTGACTTTGGGGAACTCTCAACTTCTCTGAGCCTCAATTTGCTTAGCTATAGAATGAGAATACCCCTGGCCTCCTATAAATTAGACAATGTACATGCAGCTCCTGACACACGATAGGAGATATTTCTCTCACTCCTACCTTTTCTCTGCTTAATAGACTTCCTAGGGAGGAGCCCGGAAATAAGCCCAGAAAATCCTTGATGTAGGAAGGACTGCACAGTCTAGTCCTTGCTACTCCTCTGCCCTCGCTTGTCCGGAGACCAGCAGCTTCGACATCATCAGGGAGCTTGTTAGAAATGCAGATGCTCCGGCCCACCCAGACCTACGCCAGCCCAGGCACACTACCGTTTAGGAACCACTGTCTAGCCATCTCGAGACAGAACCACACCCCAGGCTCCTCATACAACTTATCATCATAGAACACCCCCTAGCTAGGGAATCCAGGCTCTCCGTCCTCATGCCAGCCCTCACGCCCTACAAAGGTGGTAGGAGCAGGGAATATTATTGCGAGGCACAGAGAGGTCAAGTAACTTAATCCTGTTCCCACACCCTATGGCTGAGTCAGAACTGCTGATGGGTCCCTTAAAGCCTACCCAGGGCACTCCTCGCTCACCAGCGGCTTCTCAGCGCCCTGAGGCTGCGGAACCTTACTGTATTTTCTGCCACGCCCCTGCCATCCCCACACCTGTTCAGGTATTACAAGGCGTCTATAAGTGAGGCAGCAGGCACACGTGGAGCAAGCCCACCAGCACCTATGTTCAGGGACCCCCTTGCTCCTTGAGAGTTCATGATTCCACTAAGCCAGTTGCATCACACTGGACAGCGCCACCTCGGTGCCCATTCAAGGGAGCCGACTTCCTTTCCCGGGGTTGGAGAACCCACAAATGGTAGTAAACAAGCAGCCCCCTCCTCACTGCTCTGGCAGAGGTCCTTAGAGACCTTGGAGCCCTGGGAGGAGAAAGTAAAGAGGAGGAGGCCCTCTCCCAACCATGTGCCCAAAGCAGCTCAGCATTTGTTCACAGCACCGCAGATACATCAGCCATGGTGTCTGCCACACCCAGGGTCCCTTTCTGGCT